GCATATGAGGTTATTGAAAATACCATGGCTTGAGTCAGGCACACTTTAGTCCTCAAGGTGACAGCTTTGCTCTTCGACACTTTAAAAAGGTCTTGTGCAGCAGATTTGCCTAATGCAATACGTTGTCTGATCTATTGACTGCTGCTTCCATGAGTGTTGATAGTAGATCCAAGAAGAATGAAGTCTTTGACAACTTCAATCTTTTCTCCCTTGATGAGAATGTGGTTTATTGGCCCAGTGGTGAGGATTTTTGTTTTCTTTACATGAAAGAAGTAGGCTGCATGCAACTCAGGATCTGAATTTGCAGGTTATAACTTGGAATCAGAATCTGGAAACATGAAGGCAAAGTCTCCTTTCTTTAGTACAGGACAGCTCTCTCAATTCCTCTCAACCACTGCAGAACAGTCTCCTCTCAGCTCCTTCAGGACAGGTCCATTTTAGCCCTTCAGGATAGAGTTTCCCAGCAAAGATATCATAGGAATAAAGACCTACTGGTTTAATGGACTGCAAGGTCAATTTGGACTGCAAGGTTGGTGGTTCATGCTTATCAATTGCTCCTCAGAAACTCTATACAGGGTTGGAATGACTTGACGGCACTTAACAATAACATTTATTTCTGAAGATCAGTTCATGAAAACCATCTGATGGCCAGCCCTGGGATCTGCAACCAGTGATAAAGATGACATAGGACCTGGCAGTACTTTGTTCCACTGTGCATGGAGCTGCTATGACAGATCTGGTTCAGTAGCAAGTAGCAACACCAGGCAGAATGGAAACAACATTCCTTTCCCAAATAGAGTTAGTGATTTCATGGCTCTTAATTCCATATCCTAATGCTCTTAGTAAGGGCTGTAAGTAGAAGTCATCTATAAAAACAAGCCAGGTTTCTTTTAAATATGAGTGTAAGTAAAGAAATATTGCTACTAGGGTTCTAGTCCTGGTGTGGCACCATAAGATAAGCAATTGATCTCAAGGTTAGTTATATCCACAAAGTCGGTGGTTCAAACTCACCTTATACAGGGTAACTATGAGTCTGAACCAACTTGGCAACACTTAACAACAACAACTAGGATTCTAGTTCATACATGCTTGGATTTATTCCAAACGTATCTACCATCAGTGGATAGCTGCAGCTAAGTTCTCTTAGTTGTCTTAGTCTCATTAGGGGATCTGCTTGGTCAGTTAAATCCAATTCAGAGGTCAGCTCAAAAGGCTATGTTGACTGATTTGGGGAATTCCTGAGAACTAATCTTGACTAGCACAGTGGCATCAGCAGTGGCTGCAACAACAATTGTGAAGATGTTGCAAGACTGGAAATGTTTCATTCTGTTGTGCATAGGGTCGCTATGCATCGGAATCCACTCAAAGGCATCTAACAGCAACAATAACAGTCTTGGTAGATTTTCTTGAAATACAAAAGATGATCATGGGGGTTTATTATGAAGAAGTTGGAAAAAAATAGAAAGCTGTCTTGGTAAGAAAAAGGCTAGGAAAAGTGTGCTAAGGAATTTTTTCCATTATGCACCTGCTAATTCTTCAAGAGTAGCAAGGATTGTCATAGGAGAATTCCATTGGAAACCTTACACCATCCACCCTATGGCTTGATCTTTCCCTCTCAGGTTTCTCTTTGTTCCCCAAACTCAGGACATTTCAAAGGAACATGATTTAAGTCCCTCCAGGATGCCAACAGTAGTGAGGTTAGCCCAGGATCAGGCAGTGTTTCGTTCTGCTGTACATAAGGTCGCTATGAGTCGGTACCGACTCGATGACACCTAACAAGGATGCCAAACCTGCCTTTTTGACAAGGTATAAATCAAAGAATACATAGTTATTTGGAGAAAAGTTATCAAGGCGGGAACCCCACCTTCAGAAGTGTATACACCTAGGAGAGTATGTTGAAAAACAATAATTTTCCTATATTAATATTTTTATTTAATAATGGTTTATATGATTTTGTAACAGTACTTTTTAACATCCTCATATATCCAAACTTTCAGAATTTTTTTTAAAAAACAAGAATTGTCTACACTATCACATAAAATAGAAAAATGATAATTAAACAAAACTTCAGATTTGTGTTGTCCTTATGATATAAGATTCCATTTGAAATGTCAGTGTTTCTTTTTGGTTAATTTATGAGGTTTCATTATACCCAACAATGATTTTAAACATGGTGCATGTTATCAAATTCTTTGGTGGGAAACTAGCAGACATTATGCAGAACTAAGAAGAGGCTAGATTTTCATTTCCTGTTCTTTGAATGTGCAGCAGTGGTTTGAAGACAAATGGGCAAAGAGGATGAATGAAAATCACATTAGTATCACAGGTAAAGTCTTTTATTTATAAACATATTCATTCAGTTTGAGTCTAAAACCTAGAACCTTTTAAAGCCTTATCAAAACCCAAGCCATAAATGTTCACATACTAAAAGAAGCCTTTAATATTTAAATGATTGGAAAATGAAAAGCAATAAATGAATAATTAAACCATTATATCCATTTGAAAAGAAAATAGTTCTACTGGAAATGATATAAATGAAGCATAATCTTATTAGGCATAGAACAAATGAAATTCTGATTTTTGGAATTAAAGCAATATTACTGAAAATCTCTCTCTCTTTCATGTTTACATATGAAACAAAGAACACAAATAAGCACCTTGCAGTTTTATTGTCCATTGCCTAGATGCATGCAGGTGTTTCTGGAGAGTGTTCTTGTAATGAGGGGAGTGGTGAATCTGTCTTAGAATTTTCTCTGTCCCTGTAGGAGATCTCATATACCTCCACCATAGTCAATCAGTGGTGGTTTGTGTGGTGGATAAGCTGAAGATTCTCAGTGAAATTCTCCTAGGACTGCCCTTCCTACCCTCAAATAATGCTAAGTTGCATTGTTGTGATGGGGGAAAAAAATCCTTATTCCAACTTCCCTGGTATTTTTCCTTACCAATGCAATTTTCAGTCTTCTTGTAGCTTCTTAATAGACCCTGTTTTCATCTTGTGTCTTTTGAGGAAAGTCTCTGAAGATTACCCCTTGAAATCTCAAAAAGTAGTTATTCATAGCCTTCTGAGCTGACCTCTCTGTCTTGAATTTAACTGGCCCAGCAGATCTCTTTGCATGCCACTGTTTTGATTTGATCTTGCTTTTTGTGAAGTCATCCTAAGGAGACTAAGATAAATGTATTACTGAGAACATGTCTGTAGCCATCCATTGAT